ACCATGTCTGGTTATGAACAACTTCCTTAGCGGGACTTGAACCCGAGTAGTGCAACATATGAACACGATACGTCAACCGATAGGCCACAAGTTGCCTAGGCTAACAGGGCAAAAGTTAATTGCAAGGAAGCCTAAGCCTTTCTCATATTAAATTTATGTTGTGGGATTTTAGATGAAGCAGTTACACTTGCCCTATCAATCGACTGCATTATCGTAAACTAAGGAAATTACTCTATAGTTAGTCAAAAAGCATGAGTTTAGGGTATACACAATGCATTTAAAGAAAAGGCAATGAGTTTCTCTTACTTATAAGTTTGAATATGCTCGTATGAATGATATCTTACTCTGATGATATCCGTCATATGAAGGACGTTTTCACCTAAGACTTATCGTTATGAGAATAACTGAGTACCAGACGATGGGGAAGGAAGATATAATCAAGCCCCGAGTGGGTCACTCACCCAAGCGGCTGGACAGAGCTGATAGGCCAAGTGCAGAATGGCAGCATAGCCGGTTTTCTCAACCTCCTCCACACTGGCAATCACATCTGAGGTCACATCAGAAGAATGCGATTGAGTCTTGCTTGCCTGTCGCTCAAGAGATAAATGTTCCGACGAGCTTGAGCCTGAGCTGATACTTTGGTTTTTAGTCGAAACGGTATTACATGCAGGCACTAGATTAGATGTCGATAAGATCAGCTTTGAAGCTGTCGAAGCTTCTGTTGCCATCTGTGGAGTCTGAACGGTAGGCCTCGTGTGCGTGGCCTTAATAGATGCAGTCGATCCAGATGTGCCATGAGGTGGATGCATAGTTCGCGATCGAGTAAGACAATGCAGTCGGTAAAGTTGAACTAGAACATCTAGTGTGATCAGTGGCGATGAGGGTGACAGATCGGGCGAGTTGGGCGTGACACGGGCGATAGAATGGTCAATCAAAGTCGACACAGTATTTAACTTAGACTCCTCACTACCTCCAACATCACCAGCGATAGCAACAGGGGAAGTAGTGACAGTTATGGGATATCTAGCGGAAATTGAGTTCTTTGCAACATTGAACAGCCACCGAGTGAGAGCGGGCTGGATTAGGTTGAATGCCCGACGAGCTAAAAATACGCGATCAGCCTCACTGAGGAAGCCACGTCTATTAAAAAATGCAACGTAATAATTAATGGTTTATTTTGTTAAGAAGAAGCAATTTACAATGGGTGTGGTGAGGTAGTATGAATGTATGGATAATAAGGAATTAATGATTTAAATATGAATGCGAGGAAGTGATAAATTGAGGATCTATGAAATTTTATCTTATTACTATTTGATTAGGGATGAATATACATAAAATTAGTGAATACGCATCCCCAGTATATAAAGAGATTGGTTGTATCTTGTTTTTCTCATTCTTTCAATTATGTATTAAAATGCAAAGGTGAATTTACACTCGTATTTGACCAAAAGCATAGTTTCAAAAAATAGAGTTAAATATAACAGAAAAAGTGGAATTTTAAAGAATCCATTAATTATTTCATATAAGTAAACCTCTTAATTAATATTAAAACTAAATGGAAGACAGCCTAAAGTTGTGTTACTCTGATAGGAGGATTTCCATACTAAGGTCTGGAAATTTGCGCTAAATAAATAAGTAGATAGCTGTCTAATGTAAGTAGTTGGTGGATAATTAACGTATTTCATTAAACAAAGATTTTTCTCTGAGAAATTTGTCTGTCACAGGACTGAGGGAAAAACAATGCAGTTATCAGTATCGAAGAGCGATAAAATGATGAATTCTTCTTATAAATTAATAGTAACAATTACAAGGCAATCCTCAGACTTTCGGTAAGGCCAATTTTTTATATGAAATTAAAGGGCTAGTGACGTGAAAAAGAGTAGAGCTTTTGAAAAGAAGAGTTTTTAATACATTTAGTCTCGAATAATAAAAGTAATCAGGATAGCATAAATAATACAAAATTGGTTTAGTTCCTAAATTTGAAGTAAGTGATGACTAGTTAAGGCTCACTTTTCTTCTGGTGGTTGACGCCGTAACTGATGAAAGATATGTAAGAGGCGACGCCAATCGCCTTGTTCAGAAAGAGTTGTCAAGAGGAGTTGGACGGATCGATGCATATGAGAAGCGAAATTGCCACATCTATCAATATCAGAAGTTGGGATTCTCCAAACTCCCTAAATCCCAAAGCAATAAAAATGGCTATAAATAAGAGATATTTCAGATAATCAAAACAAAGACGGTTCCTCACTAATATAACAAAAATGATGATTCTATAAATAGGAAAATAAGTGACAAACATAGTGGCAGAGTAGGTTTATTTTAAGAATAAAGGGGTGCCG